AGTCACCGATTCACTGCTGTTCACCTGGAAGGAACTGATATCTGAGAACAACTTAAACGGCGATTTAGTGAAACTGACCGCTTGTTCTGCAGACGCACAGGTAGGCGGAATGGCCAGGACCCTTGGGAAGCGCAGAGTGTAACACAGCTTTCCTGGTAGCTAACTTCCCCGTGGTGGTGGTCAAAGAGGCGGGCACCACTTAACTTTATTACAGAAGTCAGGATCATCTGATCTGTTTTTTCAGTTCCTTTTCTGAGCTGCTTCTGTCACACCCAACCTGGAGGAATCTTGGTCCCAGATCAGCTCATGCATCTGTTCCTTGTGACCGCAGCGCCAGCTGCTGAGGCTGACGGAGAAGTTACATATGTGCAGACCAGCGGGTTCCTGTCAGCTTTCTCCTCCATTTCCACGGTGACTGGTTCACGCCTTGACGCTTCTCAGTCTCCCATCAGTCTTTCCTTCCTCTCAGTGGATGATTTAACATCCTCTTTCCAGGAAAAGGGAACCCACTGATGAGAGAATTCCCTCAGTTGATTTCTCATCACACCTACAAGCTCGTCCATCCCTTCCTGAGTCTGATCTCCCACTCAGGACACTGTGTCCTCCTCTCTCTCCAGCTGCCCTCTGCTCTTTTTCCAATTCTTCCTCTCCACCAACTCTGTCCGTCCGGATTTAGTCATGTTCAGATACCTCCCATCCGAAAAAAGCAAAACATTGTTCAACCCGGTTTCTTCACCCAGCCATTCTCTCCTTTCCTGTCAGCTCCACAGCCAAACTTTAATCTTTAAACAACTTTGTAGTGCTGTTTTCTGCCCATAAAAGTAACATGCTCATTCTTAAAGAAAATTTTAAAATCACCTATGACTCTACCACCTTGAGAACCAGTGTTTATATTTTGGTATATAATGTGCATTTAAACACATACATAGACCTTTGTAAATAAATGAGATCATACTACATACACAATTACATGTCCTGAGATTTTCACAGTGTTCTCTTGTGAGCATTTTATATCTTTTAAAAAATAGTTTTGGGCCAGACGTAGTGGCTCACACCTGTAATTCCAGTACTTTGGGAGGCCGAGACTGGTGGATCACCTGAGGTCGGGAGTTCGAGACCAGCCTGGGCCCAACATGCGTGAAACTCTGTTTCTTACCTAAAACATACAAAAAATTAGCCGGGCCTGGGCTTGGCGCGGATGCCTTGAATCCCCACGCTAACTTTGGGGAGGCTGAGAGCAGGAGAGTTACCTGAACCTGGTAAGGTAGACGGTTGCAGCAGTGAGCCAAGATCACACCATTGCACTCCAGCCTGGGTGACCAGAGCGCAGACTCGCATCTCAAAAAAAAAAGAAAAAAACGGCCGGGTGCCAGTGGCTCACGCCTGTAATCCCAGTCCACTTGGGGAGCTGAGGCAGGTGGATCACCTGAAGGTTGTGAGATCCGAGACACATCCTGATCCAACACTGGGAAAAAACCCGCTCTCTACTAAAATGTAAACAAAAATTAAGCCGGGCATTGGGTGGCGCATGCCCTGTAATCCAGCCTACTCAGGAGGCTGAGCAGGAGACGACGCTTTGAGGGCCCCCAGGCAGGCACAGGTGTGGTGCAGGCCCACAGATCACTCCATTGGCACCCAGGGCCTGGGCAACAAGCAAGTGAAACTTCGTCTAAAAAAAAAAATTGAGTGTTTGGCAGCTAAGCCATGGCCGGTTCGATGCCTGTAATCTAGCAACTTTTGGAGGCTGAGGCAGGCAGATCACCTGAGGCTCAGGAGCTTTCGAGACCAGCCGGCACTAACATAGTGACAATTGCCCAAGTCATCTACACTAGAAATACAAAAATTGGCCGGACTGTGGCTGCGACGCATGCCTGCTAGTCCCAGCCTGCTCAAGGAAGCTAGCAGTAGGAGAATCGCTAAACCTCGGAGCAAGGTTGCCATGAGCAACAGCGAGAGCCTGGGAACAGAAGATCGCGCCCAGCCTGCACTCCAAGCCTGAGAGCAGAGCCGAGACTTTGGCCCAAAAAAAAAAAAAAAAAAAAAAGAAAATAGTGTTGGGCTGGGTGGCAGCAGCCCACTGAGCCTGTAATCTTAACACTTCTGGAGGCCAAGGCAGGAGATTGTTCAGCTCAGGAGATCAAGACCAGCCTGGGCAACATACTGAACCTTGTCTGTACTAAAATTTAAAAACTCAGCTAGGTGTGGGTGGTGCATGCCTATAGTCTCAGCTACTGTGGAGGCTGAAGTGCGAGTTCACCTGAGCCCAGGAGGTCGAGGCTGCGGTGAGAACTGCACTCCAGCTGGAATTACAGAGGTGAGCCACCGGTGTCCTGCTCATTTTAACTTTAGAATCTTCCTTTCTCCTTACCAGGTACAGAAGAAAACATGGAGTTGAATTGTCTGCTAGGTTCTTTTGTAGTTCAGAAATGACAGCCTAAAAATAAATGACTGACGTCTTTCTCCTTTTCTTCTTTGTACAGGATTCCCCGCTTTCCGTTGCACCAACAGTGAAGTGACAGTCCAGCCCAGCCCCTATTTGAGTTACCGGCGCCCAAGGAGCTTGTAGACCTGTCTACAGGGGAGGATGCTCACAAGCTAATAGACTGTCCTTAAGCTCGGTAAAGTCCTATGTGCATCTTAGTATGCTGGCCGTCTTTTCAAATAGACCTTCAAATTGGCTTTTATATAATATTTCACTGGAATCCTGTAGCACCTAGACTTTGATGCTTATGAATGGAGCTGAGTTACTGAGTTAGGTCATTTTCTAATTAAATATAAAATAGGAGCTGAAGGCATAATTTATTGATTAGAGTGACAGAAAATGTTTTTATGCTGTATATGCCTTTTGAACATTTTTCAAAATACTTGTAACTGTGAAGAAAGTGTGTATATTGTTAGAGGGCTGCACGGAGAGCAAGTCTCTGCTCTGGTGGTGATTTTACTCAAGAGGGAATGTGAATATTTATACTTCTGTGTGGATTTCTGTGTAGGAGTTTCTGTATGTATGGAAGAAAGAGAAGAAAATACTCAAGTACCTGAGGATAATTTGCTCAGGAGTCAAAGTGATAAACTAGTTTAATGAATTAAAGCATGGTTTTCCATGACAATTTTTAATCACATCTTTGCCAAGACCTCTGGAAAATTACACCTGCTGAGCAGATATCCCAAGGAGCATGTGCTATTTTAATGTCCCCTTGGTTTTCTTTGGCAGAAGAGAAATCAGCAAGAGGACGACTGATGAGCGTGCTGGAGCTGGAGAAGAGGAGGCCCCGCCCCGCCCCGCCGCTCGGGAGCTGCTCATCAGCCGCAGCTTCCTGCCAACCCTGATGCGGGCGGGCCGGGCAGTGTGGACATCAGCCGCTTTTTATATTCATGTACATCACCTGGGGAAAAAAACAGAGGGACTTTGCTACTTGTAAAAATAACATAATAAATAGATCTTAAGCATAGGAAATCATACTGTTCTGATAATAAAATGCTTTCTATGAAATACGTTGCTTTTCTACCCGGTCGCTTTATTTATTTATTTTTATTTTTATTTTTTGAGACAGTCTCGCTGTGTTGCCCAGGATGGAGTGCACTGGTCCAATCTCAGCTCACTGCAACCTCTACCTCCTGGTTCAAGCGATTCTGCTGCCTCAGCCTCCCGAGTAGCTGGGATTACAGGTGCACACCACCACACCCAGCTGATTTTTGTATTTTTAGTAGAGGCAGGGCTTCACCGTGTTGGCCAGGCTGGTCTGGAACTCCTGATCCTCAAGTGATCTGCCCACCTCAGCCTCCCAAAGTGGTGGGATTATAGGTGTGAGCCACCACGCCCAGCCTGTTTTATTTAGGGACAGAGTCTTGCTCTGTTGCCCAGGCTGGAGTGCAGTGGCACAATCACAGCTCACTGCAGCCTCAATCTCCTGGACTCAGGCAATCCTGCCTCAGCCCCCTGAGTAACTGGGATTACTGGTGCACACCACCACGCCCAGCTGATTTTTATATTTTTTTTGTAGAGATGGGGTTTTGCCACGTGGCCTTTTTAAAAGGCCACCATGTTTAAGTGATATCAATTGTGCCTGATTTACCGAGGCTTTATGATGTGCCAGACATTCTACTAAGAGCTCTTTCTGTATTAGTTGACATCACCAAGCAATTTGAAGGATACAGACATGACAGTTTCCCAGGGTAACTGCCCGACGTGGTATCCAGTGGTAATCTTCGTCCTCAGTACTTTATCTTTGTATTCAGTATGTCAGATGCCCTTTCTTTTTTTCTTTTTTTTAAGTAGTAGAGATGGGGTTTCCCTGTGTTGCCCAGACTGATCTCAAACTCCTGGCCTTAAGTGATCCTCCTGCCTCAGCCTTCCAAACTGCTGGGATTACAGGTGTTGTTTAATGTACAGGTGCTTCAAAAATACTTTTGTTTTTTTAAACTGCTTATATAGGTGCCTACCCACCTATGATGGATTTAGTATCAAGGATTGATTTTAAGTTTAGCTCTGGAAGCTGGCTTTGTCAAGATGGCATTTTACCAAGCCAAAGAAAATGTAAATATATTTGATACCAATTGAAAACATTCAGACTAGGCTGGGTGCAGTGGCTCATGCCTGTAATCCCAGCACTTTGGGAGCCTGAGATGGGCGGATCACCTAAGGTCAGGAGTTCAAGACCAGCGTGACCAATATGGTGAAATGCCATCTCTACTAAAAATACAAAAATTAGCCGGGCGTGGTGGTGGGTGCCTGTAGTCCCAGCTACTTGGGAGGCTGAGGCAGGAGAATCGCTTGAACCTGGGAGGTGGAGGTTGCAGTGAGCTGAGACTGCACCACTGCACTCCAGCCTGGGCGAGAGAGCGAGCCTCTATCCTCCACCAAAAAAGAAAACTATATTCAGACTATATAAAAAGACCCAGCAAAATTTGGCAGAGAGTTCATAAACTATACAATTCTCATTACATTTTTTTACACATTTTCCTGGAAAAACTGGACTTCAACTCTCAGGTCATTTTCTAAAACGTGATTTTTGTACATTGTTTACTTAGTGTATTTAATTTTAGTTGATTTTCCTGATGTTAATATCAAATGTAGGATACTATGAAGGAAATATTCTCCTAAAGCCCAATATAATTTACGCCTGCCTAAAAATTAACTTCTGTTTTGTTTTAAGACAGAGTCTCACTCTGTCTCCCAGGCTGGAGTACAGTGGCACGATCTTGGCTCACTGCAGCCTCCGCCTCTTGGGTTCAAGTGATTCTCCTGCCTCAGCCTCCTGGGTAGCTGAGGATTACAGGTGTGCACCCCACACCTGTGCTAATTTTTGTATTTTTAGTAGAGATGGGGTTTCACTATGTAAGTCAGGCTGATCTGAAACTCCTGGCCTCAAGAGATCCACCCACCTCGGCCTCCCAATTGCTAGGATTACAGGCATGAGCCACAGCGCCCAGCTCTTAAGTTTTGAATCGTCCTTTTTTTTTACTGGCATTGTTCTTTCTTTGAGTACCTCCAGGCTTGCGCTTGAATTCAGGCAAATGGAAACCTGTGTGCTTCCTCATGCGTGTTCCCTGCAGTCCTCCCTTCTGAAGAGAAGACCACTGCCCTGTTGCCTTTGAAGGGCTGGAATACGTAGTGCTTTGTCTGCAGGGCAGCGTCATGTCCCGTGGGCTCCCTGGAGAAGCTTTGGCCAGTTTTGTTTTCGCGAGTCTCATTTGATTCTGCATTT